TGACGACCTTAAAGTCATCTCTGAGCCGATTGTCTAGATAAAGTGGGACCCTCAACGTCTTACAACCCTATGGGCCTTCACGGCCTGGTACAAGGATAGCTTTACTTATTTTAATTTTCGTGTTTCGCGGCATCCGTCAGTCTGTCCATCATAGTCGCATTTTGTGTCTCAGAGACTAAGAAATAGTGTAAATATAAAGGGTGTTCGTTTTAGAAAGGAAGACTTTGATAATTATGTTGTTATATGCATCAGTTTGAGCCGAAGTTAATTTATTTCCTCCATAAGAAAAGCACTGGCAACGTGACAACAGCGGGCACTGTTCTTGGGAGGTCACTTAGCTGCCCCCTCAGTAACCGGATTGTACAGCCTGGAATGAGAACAGCTGTATGCACTAAGCAGCCATATGCCTGTGTATTATTTTAATGCAGGCTCTTTTATTTGAATGTAGGTAAAAATGTGAAGTTCTTCCTGTACTTCACTGTTTAAGCAATACTCCATGAAGACGTATGGAGGAATGGATATACAGATCCATATATTCTTGACCTCGGCACTAGTTGGAGGTAATGGTTAGCTTCACGCCCAGGCAGCTTTATCCTCAGGAGAGAAGGTCCCGGTAACTTTTGGATACGAAGTTGGGTGGGCTCCAGAACAGAAAAATCTCCCCCATACAGGTAATCAATCTCCGATCCCTCGGTCGTCCAGCCCGTAGCCAGTCACTATACCGACTGAGCTAACCCGGCTCCCATTTGATTTGAAAGTAAGTTACTGTCATATAGTCATGACACTACAAGCAGATATAAATCTAAATGTGAGACTCAGGAGCCCAACGGAAAGCGACAGCGCACTAACCTCTCTAATCAACACTACAAAACAGGCAACCCAAGATGCTACACCTAAGATCACCTTCCAAAATAACACAAGGAATGTTCCAATTGAAATTAGAAAACTCATAGCTGAGAAAAGAAGAGCAAGAGCGAGGTGGCACAGAAGTCAAGCACCAATAGATAAAACAACATATAAGCCATATAAATACTAGGCTGAAGTGTAAAGAGGCAAGAGGAAGATCCTCATCTAACTATATAACCAGCCTCAACAGATGTGACAATACCATCTGGAAACACATCAAACATTTAAAGAAACCCAAGACAGAGATACATCCTTTAAGACATGAAATGTCGCCGCACACATTGTGGGCAAGAAGTGATGAAGAAAAAGCAGCTATGTTCGCTGAATATCTTGCTACAGTTTTTACACCATATGATGACCATACTGATAAAGAAATAGACAAATACAGTGCGTACAATCAANTGGCTAATAGCAGGATGCTTCGTAAGGACATACAGTGTGAGAGTGTGAAACATATGCATATCTTTCTGGATAGGGATCACTGTCAGGCTCTTGTGAACACCCTTGGGTTCCATGAAATGTTGCAATTTTTTGAACAGCTGACCACAGTTTCTCCAGGAGGACTTTGCTATGTGGAACTTCATGAATGTGAAGTGAAATATTTACACTCATAAATTCGAAGTTCATATTTCACTGTAAATCCCACAAAACTAAAACAAAACCAAACTTCGTGGTCTTAGTCCGCAAGCGAACTATACAAACCGAGCGACCGTGCTTGTCGGCGAAGTTAGTGCCAACTTTAGCGGATAGAGAGGATCGCGTGGTCAGCGCAACGGATCCCCACGGTTGTTACTTTCGTTTTTCTAGACAGGAGCCGCTATTTCCTTGAATAGCTCCTCAGTTATCCTCACGAGGCTGATTGGACCTCTTTCCATACCCACTATTTCACAGAAAATCTAGTAGCGCCTGGAATCGAACCCGGAACTCTGGATCTATGGCCAGGAACTCAGGCCACTAGACTACAGTGGCAGTCACTGTAGATCCCATATGCATCTTAATCACTTGTTTCATGTAGGTTCATTATTTCAGGGTTTTGAAAGAATATAAACACAAATCACCGAATCCTCTTATAAAATGTGATATGTAGGATAAAAACGTGTGCAGACTCCGCTTCCCTTTTGCTGTGCTAAATAAGTGAGATATGATACGTGCTGCCAAATTGCAACCCATAGAGAGACCTTATGTTATTACTTTGCTGCTGTTGGCTGTTGTGTGACTACAGACGGGGTATGGATTGGTGAATTGGATCTATTGCCCACCTGTGCACGCCACTCGGAACTACACTGTACAGATCACTGATACACACAGGCTAGTGACCCCAGCCTATTACAATCTCCACTAGCCGTTTCGTGGCAACAGATTTAGCACATTGGAGATTCTTCAGCTTCCCACGCTCATGTCCTCTTGTCACAGCAAGCAGTGCAGAACTCTTGTCAACTGACAGATCAACTAACTGGGTAGAAAACTGGCGGCCATTTCACACCAACCTCGTAGTCGTTCTTCACAGGCTGACTTTCAACTGAACTGCACTCAGCCCACCTTGGGTCCTCGCTATGTAGCCTCGGGGCGGACCGAACAGAAAACTCCGTTCTTCTATTGTTGCGCGCGTTCTTTCCGCTGGAACGTGTCTACCGAAACGTTGCTTAGAAACGAGTTTCATAACCCATTTGTTCTATTGTTCCATGTAAGTATGTTGCGGGCGTTACCTAACAACAGCCGCTGTCTAGAGAGTCGCCGCTTAGCAACGATCTATACGCCACAGTATAAATATGTTCAGTACCATAAAAATAAAAGTTGTTGCTGTACTTACCCGCCGAACCATGCATGTGTGTAAGAAGGCAAATTGTGAATATTATGAACTTATTCATTTGTGATTCATTTAACGACGATATGAACATACAGAGTCTAATGTTTAGATGGTACAATTAGAAGAGTCGGCCTAGTCCTCTCGCCAGATATTCAAAGCAGCTGTGTTATCACTTGAGCTGATATCATAGCTTAAGAGAGGGACAGAAGTGGAACAGGGGTAGGAAGGGTAAGAGCGGGCAGGAAGATAGAAAATTTGTGTATGTCAGCATGAAAATAAAGTATTTTTAAGTAACTCTAAAGTCGATATTTGTTTTTCTTTTGCCACGGCTGATTTGAACAGGAAAATTGCTCGAGCCTAAACCTACTGCTCACGCTATAGGAAACAGTGATTTGTAAATTTTGTGGAATGAAGCAGTCAGGGCTTATTTTAAGATACTATCGTGGTATTTCTTGGAGGGACTGAGGAAACCACTGAAATGTCAGAATAGTCGGTATCGCGGCTCCAAGATTCTCAATGGTAAGCTCCAGAGTCAAAGTAAGAAGCATGGTTTACGTGTATTTTACTACTGTTCTCTCAAGAGTGTTACATAGTGTTTACATAATGGAAATGCTTGTACAGGTTTATTTAACGTCTCTTGTATATAAACATATATTACTATTAAAATTATAATTAATAATTAAAATACAACATAAAAGGGTGTATTATGGTGTCACGTCCCTTGTGTCTCGTTTTGCGAAATTGACAGTAGAAATTAGAGACCCTGGAACTGGACCGAAGTCAGTTCCTCGTTCATGCCACTTCAGTTCTGGGAAAAGAGTATTTCGTAATTATTGATATGAGGCTTTTCTGGACCCAGAGCTATAATGACGAAAATACAATGCACGGTCCTGTCGTGAATCGAAGTCCGGTCGTTGCTTTGTGAATGAGCTACGCGGCCCGTTATAGAAGTAAAATTGTCTTTGTGTGCTTAACAAATTGGGCACTATGTCATTGAAATATATTAGGGAGTGCATATACAGACCTATGTTTTCTTGACCTCGGCACTAGTTGGAGGTGAATGGTTAGCTTCACGCCTCGGTCTCTTTACCCCCTGGGAAAGAACCCCCGGTACCCTTGGATAGGAGGCTATGTAGGCCCCATAGCCGGTCTAGACCACATGGACAAGTGAAAATTCTTCCCCCATCGGGATTCGAATTCCGACCTCTTGGTCATGCAGCCCGTAGGCAGGCGCTATACCGGCTCTAATACGTCTCATTAATACAAATAAAATACATTTCATTTCAGAAAGATGAAGCTTCGAAAGCTATGACGTTAGGTGAAGAGGGAAAATTAAGCAAGAGAAACATTCTTAACTTGTCCTGCAAACTTGTGTTAGACATGAGATTGGAACAGCATTCACAATGCACGAGAAGCAAAATCGAGATTCAAATACCTGTTACGAATAGCTCAAAAGCGAAATAAAATGAAATTGACAAGCACATGCGACTTGTTATATTCTTAGTGGGGTGAGACTTAGTCCATTTGGTACTGCGGCCACTAATGGCGTATTGTACCAGCCCCAGATGATAGATGATGGTGACTGTGGAGCAATTGGTAGAAAGAAGATTGACAAGGGAAACCGAAGTACTCGGATGAAACCTGCCCCAGTACCACTTTGTCCACCATAAATCCCATATTGCTTGACTCGGGATCGAACCCGGGCCGCCGCGTTGGGAAACCAGCGACTAACGGCCTGAGCTGTGGCACGGCCACATGCAAATTGATTATGGGAAAATTTCATTGCTTATAAACACGTATTGGTGCACAATGTTAATTTAGACTAGATTTGTTAGAATCTGTAAACTACAGCAAGTGCTTAATTGTAGCCTACAGCTTTAGCGCTCCCTCTTCCACCGAACCAGAGAGGTTGTTTTTGCTCTGAAGGCTGAGGTCGTCACGGAATTAGGAAGCAAAGTAGCAGAAGAGGAAAGATTTAAGCTACAAGACGGGAAGAAAATGGCAGAAGAACTCTGGGATACGCCAGAGTAGCAAGGGACAAGAATAGGAGGGGGCCTAGAGTTTGTACTTGATGAAATTGCATTCCAGTGCAGGCTGCCGTAAGGGAACATCACTTCCACCTCGTGCGTCGGGAAGCAACAGATATCCATGCTGTACTCCCCTCCCCCACCTCCCTGTGCCACGCCGAGGGGGGCGGAGTGGCAATGCGCAGTGGTTCTGTAACCCCAACATAGATTTATACTTACGACCTGGTGTCCCTAGCCAAGAGTCGACTCAAGTACTTCTTGATCCAGCGATCCAGGACGACGACAACTATCGTAGTATCTGTTGTGAGTTTGACCCGGCCTACAAGTTCGTTGTGTTCGGGTCAGCTCGGGGCTGTTCGCTGTTGCACGCCTCCCTGTGCTCGGCCCGCTGTGTGGTATGGGCCAGTGTGTGGCAGCTGTCGCTGCGGGCTGTTTGCGAGTGCGTTCAGGAGCTGACTGTTTCAGGCCGTTCATATCTTGCTCCCTCACACTTATCGCGTGATGTTGCGTTATCCGCGAATACTCCTATGGGACAGTTAATGTGATTAATCCGTTTAACAGCATCGCGGAGGTGAGTCATTAAAATTACAATTTAAGAAAAAGTAAATGTTTAAGGTTTCTGAAATATCACCTCTGAAGTTTTACTCCTTTTTAAGAAATTATGGTCATTGAAGTAGTCAGTTTTCGAAATTAATAGTTTAGGCACAATTTGACGACGATTCTCTTCACAGTGTATCATTTTTTTGCCGTTTCATTTCTCAATGAAACTTCACCATTTCATTCAATTCAGCAGTAACATTTTTCTTGGGGGTCGGTATGTTATTTATGGTTGTGTTACGAGTAATGTCTTTGGGAAATCTAATTTATTAGTTTAACTGTTGATAATATTGCAGGATCATGCTGACAGTAATCACAACTTTCTATCAATTCTGCTCTCCTCTACCGATTAAATTAACGGCGTAAAAGTTTGTATTAATTTTAATCTGCCAATTCTTCAAAATCTGAGTTAGGAAACCTTACTGAAAAATAAGAGATTGGAATTTAAGAAATGTTTTATTGGTGTAGATGGTGGATACTGTCAAATTGGGTCATAAAGAAGGAGAATGCGGACTGCGATGCTCTGATATTCTCTTCCGAAAACGGCAACGAAGGGTCGGGTTTCGTAGATGGTGAGAACATATTGACTACGTTAGCTACTTTTCTGAAGAAGGACCCCGCGCTGTTGAATTGGGCACACTTCCAGTATGAAAGTTCTAATAAAATATCGGCCAATTTAAACCAAATTTCAATGTATTTTTTAATCGGTATAATGGGGAAAGAATTTCACAAGTTTTTAACTTGTTAAAGTTTTAGGGCGGTACCGTATTTCTAACAAACCTAATTTAATTCTTGATTGATGATGTTTTACAACTAAGTGTAACATGTTTGGTATGACAGCGATAAATTATATGTACAACCGGCTTTAATGTTGTGGAACACGCCATTTCTCTCACGGGCTGTATTTCTGAAATTCGTCTGATTCTCAGAATAAACAGCGAATATTTTCGGAAACACAACTGACTTATCTTCGTTACATGAATGCGGTGTGTTCTACTGTAAATAGCAATCAGATTTTATTTATTATTTAAATTAGCTTAAAGCTTGATAGGATTAATAATATAGAGTTTTTTTTCATCTTATCACTTAAATTACAATAAAACTTCTTTAATGCAAGAATAACCATTGCAAAATAATCGAACTGCAGGATATAAAAATGATGTAAGATTTGAGGCTTTCACGGCGGTGACTATGAAGAAAGCAGTCTTCTGGGATTTGGCACCGTGTATATGTGGTGTTAACCGACGTTTCGGAGGAACGTATCGCCTCCATCTTCAGGGTAGAAGAAAAGATTTCTTATATTTTTTCTTCTACCCTGAAGATGGAGGCGATACGTTCCTCCGAAACGTCGGTTAACACCACATATACACGGTGCCAAATCCCAGAAGACTGCTTTCTTCAATAAAAATTATGTGTGTGTACATCTGTACCCCGAACGGGATTCCGTCTCGCGAACCCATTGTAGAGATCCGTCGACTAATGATAACTCCAAGGCGAATATAATTTTAATCTGTGATAAAATTGAACTGAAACAGGTGCCCATTGCTAGAAAAAGGGTTGCGTGTTGTCTGCCTGGCCAATGTAACTCCCTGGAGGGAGGGACCACAATAACACCATGCTACTAAGGGGCGCAGCATACAAACCGTCGGCCATTGCGCAGAGACAGGCATTCGTTCTTTATGATACAACTGATAAAATTAAGACAATAAAAGAGGATTTTGGAAGTCAATATATTTTTATCAGTTAAGCCTACATTTATTCCTTCTGAGTCCACAATATCACAGTGTTTGCTGCGCTGCATTCGTTTGGTTCTTTTATGGATACAGATACTATTGCTCGTACTCACCACACGTGACTGATGAGGGAAGTCATTTAATTTTGTATAATTTAGGCTACTCAGTCCTTACTCCTGTTTAGTTCTCTGCAGTCTCTTCATATGGGGCTGTACGGATTCGAGGATTTAAACATTTCTTTCTCCTACTCCGTAGTGTGTATATATATATATATCTGAATGCGTTGGAGTAGCTCCAGAATTTTTCTGGAGATTCTCGGTTCACATCGTGGACACGACGCCGGCTATCCTGACTATGGGTTTCTTGGGCTTACTCAGTCACTCCAGGCAAATGTTGGGACAGTACCTGAATGAAGCCACGATCTCTTCCTTACAAACCCTTTCCACTTCTATGTACACACTTAAATCCTACAATTCTAAACTGTATAGTCTAGATAGGGCGTTGCAATATAACCCCGCAAACAATTTTATTTGTTTCCCTTTCGCGTTTTTTTTCTGCCTTTTCCTTTTAAGAACCATGTCATTCACCAGTGATGGTCTCTGGGAAGCCAGTCTATTTATTTGTATAAGTAAAATTGGATGCTCTTAGTCAAATGCGAAGCGAAGCAAAGCAGTTTCCCAAACCAGTAACCTCATACTTTTCAACCAACGAAAAATTACATGACCTATTTACGCTTATCATATCATGCCGTGAAAGTGCTTTGTGACAGCGTATCGAGACTTGTAAGATGAATGCGGTTATGGATTTTATGTTTTCCCATACTTAAAGAGAAATGTCAGCGAATATACCGCATCGTGCAGTCAAACTTCCACGGAATAAAGATGTATGACTTTCAAAGCAATTTACTCTAAGCATTTCAGGTGTGGAACGACTGTACTGAAATGTCCATTACGTTGCAAAAGGGAAACTTGTATACTTACCGACCGCTGTACTCATACAAATGTAATACAATATTTGTTTATTTAATGACACATCATCTTCAAGGAACACTCTTTAAATATGTAATTTTCGATATTTTATGAATGTTATTCTTCATAATGAATATCTTGGTAAGAAAAAAGAAAGACATTTGTGACTCCTTCTTTTGAATATACCTTTTTAGTTAAATTATTGGCCGATCACAGCTGGCGCGCGGTCTAAGGCGTGAACTGTCTTCGCTCATTCGAATTCTGGGATCGTAGGTTCGAATCTCACTCCAGGCATTGATATGTGTTGTGAGTTTATTCTGTGCTTATGCTGTCCTGTGTGTTGGTAGCGGCCTTGCAACAAACTGATCACTCGTCCAAGGAGTCCTACAGACTGTATATAGGATGAAGAAACTGAAAAGGCGACCAAGGCCTAACAAAAGGGCTGTAGAGCCACGGATAGATAGGTAAATGGATGAATACGTTTCTTGCTTTGTACAGAGGGTTGTGGTGCAATCATGTAGTATACGTTGTGAATTATAATTCTCTGTGTTTGTCTTACAAATATATGCAAGCATTAAAATTCCCTCCTTCAACATACCAGTTTCTTCCACATGGCTTCTACATATATTGCAGGAACAAAACAAATATTCCTCTTCGTTACAGTGCTAACCACTGGGGTAGACCGAAGCAGTTTCGGTACATTCTTCAGGCTACGGCTCTCCGAAGTTATTGCGCAATTAGGGGCGCATTGCGCAGTTGGCATTAAAAGCTCCTCACAGATTATTCAATAATGGAACGATAGGTAATATTATGAGATTTGGTACATGGAATGTTAGAGTATGTTTAGGGCAGGTTCGCTCAGGGCAGTGGCAGAGGAAATCTTAAAATATAAGTTAGATTTAGCAGGAGTACAGGAGGTCAGATGGGATGGAGGTGGCATCGCACCAGCAGGAGACTTTACATTTTTCTATGGAAAGGGGAATGAAAATCATGAATCAGGTACTGTTTTTTTCGTACATAAGAGAATCGTATCAGCAGTTAAGAAGGTAGAGGTCGTTAGTGATAGGATATCATTTGAATGTTCACCTCCCACAGACACAAAGGACAGATTCTATGAAGAACTAGAACACGTACACAGTGTGTCCAGGTTCTGTTAGGACTGTGTTCATTAAAATACAGGACGTGAATTATTTTCAAAATTTCACTCTTTTTATTCAAAATAGTCTCCTTCTGAATCAGTACATAGCTGGAATTGATTGAGAAGTTTTCGAAAACAGTCACTGTACTCCCTTTGTGGAATCGCATTTAAAACTGCGGCACATTCACTTTGGATGTCCTGGATGGTGTCGTGACGGTCTCCTTTCATAGTCAGCTTAACTTTTGGGAACAACCAGAAATCTGCTGGAGCCAAATCTGGCGAATAGGGAGGACGATCAAGGACTGTGATCCCTTTTCTGGCCAAAACATCGCGCATATCTTCGATTTGTGGGGTGGGACATTGTCGTGGAGGAGAGACCAGGAACCTTGCTCTAGATATTCCTGTCGAATTCGAAGAAATCTCGCCCATAAACAATTGAGGACTCCGAGATAATAATCAGAATTAACTGTTTGACCTTCTGGCAGAAATTCCTTGTGAATGTGTCTTTACTCGACTCTTTTGCATGGGCACTTTCTTTGGTTTCGGTTTCTTTGGGCTCAACCTCAGAGGCTAATATTGAAAACACCATGTCTCGTCACCAGTGACAATTGATTTTGTAAATTTTATATCACTTTTGGCCGACCGTAACATGTTTTTGCGGTGTTCCAGTCTGGCATGTTTTTCATCGCCTGACAGCGCGTGCGGTACAAACCGAGTAAAGACCTTCCGTTTGCCAAAATCCTCGCTCAAAATATGATGCACAGTACTTTTTCGTACTCCTCACACCTCCATGAGTCATGCAGAAACACATCTGTCTGATGCAAGGAATTCGGTCACTCTTTCACATTTCCTTCAGTGCGAGTTTTTCTCGGCTTTAATACAGGTGGAGCGTTTTCATTGGCCTCCCTGCCGTCACGAAATATAGCATACCATCGAAAAATGTTCGAGCGACTCTAACAATCACTACCATACACACTTTCCATCATTTCGTACTCTTCTCCGGCTGTTTTGTCTAACTTCAAACAAAATTTGATCTTGGCTCTGTGTTCAACCGCCATTTTCCGACGAGCGTCAGACAAGTACTGTTACATTCAAGGTCAGAACACATGATGCAGGGATTATAGACAGCCACAGC